CCTCCCCCTTTTCTGATGAAGGGTCTAGGCCCGAAACGTCAGCCTCTCTGCTCCTATGATGCTGCTTGGCCTGCTGTGTTCATCCAGCCCTGCACCTTGTTGTCTCTTGTTTAAGAATTACTGATTGTTTTTGCAACATTGCCCTGCGTTAGGGTAGTTTTCAAGAATTAAGAAAGATGCAATTTCACAAGTCTTTTATGTGCACACACCATGATTATTGAAAAACTACACTGAATTGAAGAACATGCATAAGGATGTGATGGTATCTACTTCTGATACTGACCAGGAGACTTTATTGCTGTTTGAAGTTTCTGTGTGATCTGTTCCAGTCGCTCTGATAAATTGAGCTGTAAAGTGACACAATCCTCAGAAAGGGCAGGGTAACATGTTAGTAAGAGCTCTGTCACACTGCAGTTCAGGTGACTGGCAATTCTGTCCTCAGCAGGCTCTGCCAAAAAAACAAACAATAAGATGCTAGTGGACTATATTTGAATGATGAGCAATGATCAAGTGTATTCCCTGGCTTTTTGTCTTCTGAGAAATCTATTTGCTGAGCACGCATCAGGTGTTGTAGAAAGACACTGTATCTATTTATTTGCTTGAGCTAAAGATGAACCTGCTCCTCTTAACAAATGTTTGAAACTTAATATCAAGTGGATTAGAACATCAACCAATCTGCTTAATTTAGTCAGACCTCTGTTTCATTTTCAAACTTTTTAAAAGAATATGATATTGCCATCAGGCAACGAACTACCCACAAACATTGTACAGCTTCAGAACAAGCAGTCAAAGGTCTGTGCTCTTTAGGTGATAAGTTAACACCAGCAACTAATTTTATAGCACTTAGAGATATCCGATGAAGCTTGCAAAAATAAATGAGTGATTGCACATATTAAGGAACAAACTAAAATTTTATCCTGTGTTATGTTCTCCACAGCTATTAAACAATTTGCAAAGCAGAACACTGAAGCCCAACTAACTCAAGAAAAGTCCTCAGTTTACTGCCAACAGCTACTATTGCGTCATTTGCATCTGAACCTTTCACCCAACTATGATGGTCACATTGGCCAGCTGGCTAGAAACAAACTTCGGGCAAATAGCACAATTTCTCTGCACTACTTCCATCAAGTTACAGTGAAGCACAATGCAACTCCCAAATAGCTCATTTGTTAAATATACGAACATACAAATTAGAAGCAGGAGTTAACCATTCACTCGTTTAAACCTGATCCGCCATTCAATAAGATCTATTTGTGACCTCAACTCCGCATTCTCACCTACTCACAATAACCTTTGATGTGGTACTTTACCAAATGTTCTCTGAAAATCTTAAGTACAATACATTTACCACTTCCACTTTATCCACAGCTTATCCAACTGTCTGCCTCTAATTTGTTTAATAATAGCTTCTAATATTTTCTAGGTAACAGATGGTAAGTTAACGGGTTTAGTTTTCTTTTGCTTTCTATCGCCCTCTCCTTTTGAATAAAGGAGTTACATTTTCTATCTTCCAATCTAACTCCCTGAATCAAGGGAGTTCACTAGCCATTATACACCTTAGGATGATGTCCATTAGGGCCTGGGTACCTGTCAGTCCACAGCTCCAACAATTTTTTCAGTACCACTTTTCTGTGATTGTAATTTTTCCCCCAAGCTTCTCCCTTCCTTCCATTAACTAATTTATTGCAGCTTCTAAGATTAATGAAAAATACTTGTTCATCTGCCATCTTCTTATTTTCCTTTATTAATTCTCTAGTCTCATTCTCTAAAGGAGCAACGGTCACTTTATTAGTTTTTTTGATATTTATAGAAACTCTTAGTATCTATTTTTATTTTTCTGACCAGCTTCCTTTCATACTCTAATTTTTCCATAATTTTTTTTTGATCATCTCACATATATTTGGTTCTTTCAGTCAAGTGATTATAATAGAAAGTCTAAACAGTTGAGGCACCAGCACCAATTCCATGACATACCATTCATCACATCTTTTCAACTCTAAAATGATCCATACAAACAGCACTTAGGAGTGAAAGTAGGCCGTTTGGTCCTTGAAGCCTGTTCCACCATTCAATACATTCATGGTCAATTTGACTGCGGTTTCAACTCCATTTTCCTGTCCGAACTCTCTAATTATTTACTCATTCAATTTTGTTATTTTGATTTTTACTTAATGCTGAATTAATTTATGCGGAATCTGTTTCCTGTTAGGTAACCAATCTTCTATCCACACTATGATGTTGCTCCCTAAACCAAGCTCTCATCCTGCATAGTAACATTTGCTGTGGTACCTTGCCAAATGCATTTGAAATCTAAGTACAATCAACCACAACTATCCCTTTCGCAATGTTCAGCACTTCCCCAAAATACCTCAATAAATTGGCCAAACATGATCTGCCTTTCACAAAGACAAGCTAAGTCTGCCTGCTCCCATTGAGATTTTCTAAGCACTTCATTATATACTCCTTAATACAAGAGAACATGACCATAAGTGCCCTGGACTATAATGCTTTCCGTCCCCTTTTTTTGAATATAGCAGTCTCTATAAATATACCGAGCCACAGACAGCAGAAATATCTCTGTTTGATCCCTGGTTTGTGCATAATGAGCCAACTTTGGCTTAGGAATGTTGTACATAGTACAAATGGATTGGAGAGTTTGAACTGTAGGGAGAGGCTGAATAGGCTGGGGCTTTTTCCACTGAAGTGTGGAGGCTGATGGGTGACCTTATTGAGGTTTATCAAAACATGAGGGATATAGATAGGGTGAATAGACGAGGTCTTTTTTTCCTGGGCAGGGGAGTCCAAAAGCAGATAGCATAAGTTTAAGGCGAGAGGGGAAAAATTTAAAAGAGGCAAAATTTTTCACGCAGAGAGTGGTGTATGTATGGAAGGAACTGCCAGAGGTAATGGTAGGCTGGTACAATTACAACATTCAAAAGGCTTCTGAAGTGTTTAAGAGAGATATGGGCCAAATGCTGTCAATTGGGACTAGATCAGTTTAGGAGGTCAGCGCTGACAAGTTAGACCAAAGAGTCTGTTTTCACGCTTTATAACTCTGACTCTATCTCTGGATTAGAGAGGAGGGATTCACACTCTTGCAGTTGTTCAGCGATGTATGTTAGAAAGATGCAAATTGGAAGATATATTAAGGATATGGCTTCATTGTTCCAAGGCCTAAATAAACTCCAACATGTACAGTAAAGGCTCATTTTGGTTAGGTAGTGGAAGGCAATTTGAATTCTTTGAACTACGCGTGCTAAAAATTATAGGAGGGAGAGACACACTAAAGGGAAACTAGTTTCAGCCCATTTCCATAACCTTAACAGCAAGGTAGGTTACTGTACTGGCTTTGGTTTGTCCATGTGAGCTGAGAGAATAGTTCACGATTTTGGTCATTCGCTGAAGGATTGTAGGAAAACCTTGGATTCCATCTGGATTATGACGAACACAATCGATCTTTCTGCCTGTAGGACACACAACACAAGGTAATATCAATGAATTAGGTATGTATTTATTGAAAGTAGAAAAGTCTGAAAACTCAATTAAATAATCATATCAGTGTTTCTATTCAATGGTATGAAAGTGCTTTTTTTAAAAAGGTATGTTGAAACCGAGCTTTTATTGTTTACTCCAAGCAACTACATTTACTTTATGATGACACTCAAACTGCTGCACAGTACCCAACTAAACTGCAGTTCTCTTCTGATTTAATGGGAGGAGCACTTTGAAAACAGCTACTTTAGAATGAATCTGAATACCTGCAAAGAAGGTGCAATCTTAATACACACACTGTGGAAAAATCTAATCACTGCCTTCAACTAATAACAATGTACCAACATTTTCATAAAAACAGCTGTATTCACAAGTTCACCAAAACAATACATGACTGGTGCAAACTTTTCCTAGCAATACCTTTGTAAACCATTGTTTCAATTAGAAACTATAGGTCCTACCTTTGGACTCAAAGGCAGCCACAAGCCTCCTTTCTGCAGTTTCTAGGAGTTGTTTACAGGTTTTCCACAATTGGCACTGGGTACAAGCAAGGTCAAAGACAGCCATAGCAGGACCACTGAGATCCTCCAGAATCTCATTCAGAGGATTGGTCGGTTCAATTTTTACTTTACTCTTCCAGAAATCCTCCTGCAATGCTGAGTTGGCAACCTCAGATGAATTAATCAGCTTCTCAACAACATCAGAAATGGAATAAAACACCATACCTACATGAGGAGAAGATAATAGGATGAATATTACTGCTTGCCAAATTACCTGTAATTTACAGTATGTGGAGATGACGACTTCAGAATGAGGAAGTATGTTGCCTGAGAAGGGAAATAATATTTCCTAAGATTTTTGCACAGAAATCTGTACCTTTCAAAATATTGCTGTCAGGTTATAAATAAAACAATGTTTTTCAAAGTATTATTAATTCCAGTGTTCAAAATCATACTCCTAGAGGAACCTTAACAGTTACCTGCTGCTGCAGCATCACCAATTGCTTGAAGTGTGAATCTCCCAACACTTAATTTGTGACTGGTGTTGTCTATGCCTTTGTTCTCCATTTTCTGTTCTACTTTGGCAAGTTCATTGATCACCTGTTGGTATCGTTCCATAAAGATCAGTTCACCGTAGCAGTATGATGACTGCAACTCAAACATTAACACCACCTGCCAAGAAAGCAAAAGATCGTCCAGTTAATCACTAACTCAGGCAATTAATGCTAAATGATCATTACATAACTGTTTATATAAATAAGCAACACACTGCATTACACTGTTAGCAACCTGGTGCAGCAATTCATTATTCACTCCAGTTTGTTAACATTCACAACAGCTTCAACATTAGTCAATCAATCAATCTATGACATTTCACAGGGGAGTCAAGATCAAGGGCAAACTTCAAGTTAAATAGAGATTGAAGTCAGTCTGGCCAGCTGACACAGAATGGTTTGGGATTTGCTGGAAGAGAAGAGAAAGGGAGTAAGATATGACAGGGTGAAGAGTAAGAAGGTAGTATATTTACTTTATTGCTGTATTTGACTAACGCTTTCAGGTGGTGAGCAAGACTGGCATTTATTTTCCTGGCTGTCCTGGTTTTATTTTTATTGTTTTCTTGAATGGCTTGTTAGATCATTTCAGACAGTGGTTAAAATTCAACAAGTTGGTCAGGGGAGTAATACATAGCAGTTCAGGTAATGGCGGACTTTCTTTCCCTCATGAGACCATTTTGGTTTCCGATTAAATCTATTATATACTTTGTAACCTACAATAAATTGTTACCTGTGCTATCTGTCCCTCAAGGAGCTTATCACCAAATGCAGTTTCCTATCTCCTAGATGAATTTGCAGAGTCACAATAACACAATTGGTTATGCCAACACAAATATGCCTAAAAACACTCATGCCAGAAAGATTCCAGCCTGGTATGAAGGGACCATAACGTTAACAATTCTATTGTCAAATTACCATTTTATTTAGCACATAAACTACATATCTTTTAATTCAAACTTGTTATCCTTCTAACTGTAGCTACTATTTGAATATTGCTCTGTTCTTGTAGAGAGCTCAGAAATCTGAGAATAAACACGTAGGAACATAGGAGCAGGAGTGGGACATTCAGACCCTCAAGCCTGCCCCACCATTCTAGATCACAGCTGATCATCTACCTCAACATCATTGTTCCATACTATTCCCATATCATTTGTCATTGGATCTATAAAACTACTAATCTTTGTAATTAGCCAAATCCCACCAACAATCCCAACTCGCTGAATTATTTTCATCTTGGTCAGCAATGAATCTCTGTTCAGTCAGGATCTCACCAGCATGTAGGTTAATATGCCTAAATGTTAATCTTTCCTACATGCCTTGCTGTCAAGAGCTGATGGGTTATTGTGCTGCTGAAGCAACAGCACAATCAACCTAAACACTGTCCTTGCACAATATCCATCAGGGTTTTCCCCTCTCCAACCCAGAAATACTGTGTCCCCATCACTCATCCTGAATGAGAACAATTCAACAGACACATCAACAATCAAATTACCAAATTTCGGGTTAGACTAACCAATAGATAAACTTTCAACAGTATCACGGTGAAAAGAAGGCATTTATATGCTCGCACTTAGGTGACAAAAAAAAAACTGTTCAATCTAAATGAATTAGCAGGAAAATCACCCAAGTCCAAAGAACACATTGACTCTAAATGTCTTAGTGGTTTTTGATGAGTTAAATACTACACATTGCAGGTAGATCCATCCATTGGTGTACATGGTTGACTAATCCCTGGGCAATATACTTTAGGAAGAGTATGTTAACTCTGGTGGATATGTGACACTGATTGACTAAAATGATACGAGAGTTAAAGGGTTAAACTGTGAAGGAAAGTTGTTCTAATTGGGTTGTCTTTCTTTTCTTAGGCAAAGCTTTAGAGGTTGTAGAAATAATGAAGGCAGTAGGTTAAGTCAAGGTAGAGATATAGCTGAACGACAACAGGCGGAATTTACTATTCCTGTTCTCATGCGCCACACCAGATAACATAATTGTGAAGATTCATGACTTAAACAGGTATTCTTGAATGATCTATGCAAAATGTCAAGAGGCTAAAAATATGGCAATGTCCTATCGACAGTCAGGAACTTGCAGATATGGTGACTATTTTGCTGTAAATTTTAAGTGACAAATAATGCCCATTTAAATAATAGGCGTTACCTTTTCATATGGTCTTAGTCACTTTCCTTTCAAACACTAAATAGTAGAAACCTAATTGATTACAAAACTACTTCTCCAATCAGAAATTCTATAGAACTGTACAGCATTGTCTAGGGGAATAAGCTTGAAATCACATAACATCATGAGCTGAAATGTCTTGTAAAATGTTAAAATCTAAAATATGACTCAACAATTTTATTTCCTATACAACTTACCTGAACCAATAAAATATATCAGAAGCTTTGCAGAAGTTCCTCTTGAAGCTGCTGATTAACTGAAGGCTATCCCTTAAAACTAAGTGATGCTGATAACATACACTAGAACTTGATTCAACAAGTGCTAGCTGCCCTCCAGTTCAAGTAACCATTCTTAATGCACAAAGTCACAGAATTCTTTTGAGCAGCCAGGGTTATGGGGAAGAGAAAGCAGGGAAAAGAACTACAACTCAGGAGAACAGTCATGTCAAAACTTGATTAATCAAGTTTTGATAACTTTTGAGAATGTTCCACAAGAATTTAAAGGTGTGAGATGTCCAAGATTAAAGGAAAAAGCCTGAGCAGCAAAATGGTTGATTTCAAGTCCATATTTTACATGTTGGTCTTATTTACTAAACCCAGCTTAAACAATAGAAATGGATTATAATGCATTGCCTTGGAAACAGAATTCAGTTTACCTGATGTGCTTGGGCAAAGTTTCCTCTAAGGATGCAGGAAATGAGAAGGGACTCTGGCGGAGCCAACATCATGGGAAGTAGAAGATTACATCGTGGGATTTGGGGTTTAAATTCCTGTTCATTTGTTACAGCAAAATTTACCAAACTTCCATCTGTAGAGATAAATTTCAATAAGCACCAAACGTTATGTGGGAAAACTGCAATACCAATATGGTGCATTCAACTGAGTAAAGAATTAACATACTCAATTCTATCTATTCTTTGAGGAGCTTTATTTCATAGAACAATACATCAGTAGTCATAAATGTAGATATGTATGCAGATTGTCAGGTATTTGAAAATTGTAAAATGCTCCACCAACATGTTACTTTGCCCAACGTTAATGGCCAAGATTCAGCGAGAACAGACAGCGAGTGGCAAGGTCAGGAAGGGAAGCAGTAAACAAGAGACACATTTAATGGTGGAAGGACTAGGAAGGAGTAGGAGAGACAAGGGGTGAGGTGGTGAACAGGAGAGATGGCGAGGTGACAGAAAGGTCATCATTTTTAGGTGGGACTTTCTTGGGACGGAGTGGGTGGCCTGGCAAGAGCTGGCTGGAAGCCATGGAAAGTAGGAGATGGGATTCTTAAATTCAACAATTTGGGGAGCTGCTGCCTCAGTGCTACGGGTTCAGCTACAACTACCAAAGCATCGAGAGACTGGGAACAGGCCTCATTGATGTACAGGCTGCATGTTTTCAAGTCTGTTTTTCCACTCTGAAGGAGGGGCAAATTGGGAGTACCTGGTGTCATAGTAAAGGGTCAATATTCTATTTTGGAGTATTTTGCTGCCATGAGGATTTACTTTTGGAAGATTTAGAACTATAGTGAGAGATTTATTGAGGTATTACTGTGAGCCTTGGTATTGTGGTGAGGGATTTACTGATATGGTGAGGGCTCTTGATGGCTCAGTGAAGTGATGGAGGCTTACCAGAGTGGCTTTCTATTGAGGTGTAGATTTTACCGAGGGAATTAATTGCTGACGTGATGGCTTCATGACGGGGTTTAATTTGACCTAACTTACTTTGCTGCAGTGGGACTTGATGAAGGGATTATTTCAACTGGCTTTCACCAGCATGCACCAAAGATTGGGGTATGGATGGCATAAGAGGGGTCAGGGAAAGGTGCACCTGAAATGCAAGATCATGTATCTATCTGAGGTGGTCTAGATCCCCAATTTTAACATTATCAAGAGTTAACGGCTAGGTGAATAAACCCAACACAAAAATATGAACCTTCCTAGATGGTTGGCAATTTCTTCAAATTAGCACTTCCTGGCAACCCCTCCAACTGACTAGGCCCCAGACATGCTTTCATTGATCCTCTGAATTCTACCTTATGGTGTCAAAAGGGAAATACAGATGATAGGCAGGTCTGCTCCTCCTAAACCATGTCTGTCAATGCCATAAACAAAACAAGGTAGTCCTTAGGTGGCAAGAATAATAACTCACATACTATAGCACTTGTATAAAAGATGGCCTTCAGTGACCATGAGATACACAAGCTCGTTCTCAGCATTGCTACTCTACAAGAAACCAGCTGAGCCGACAAAGGCTGCATTCCTGAGCATAATTATACCTTCTATTGGCATGGAAACAGCTCTAATGACCACCATGAGCTTGGTGCAAACTTTGCAGTGGATATGGCTGATGAAGTCAATTGAGTTGGCAATTGCAACTTTGGAGCACCCCATCACCCTATGGTTATCTGATGGACTCACAGTCAACTTCATATGTGGTAACGCTCAAAGTACAGAGAGAGCAGCTGAATGCAGTTCTGAAATCCCTAAAATGCCAAAGAAAAATAAACTGAAGGACTGACTGAGCAAAGAAACACAGATTTTGTAAGGAGCTGCACCTCTCTCTCTCGATTTTTCACTCATGTTCCTTCCCTCCTGCCCTTGCTGCTTCTTGATGGACAGAAAATCTCACTGTCAAATCAAAATCTCACTCAAAGTCACGAGAGAGGGAATCTGAAGTTAGAGGAGCTATTTGGGAGCCCGTCCAGCAGAATGAAGTTGACTTTAAAGACGTCAAAACACGCCGAGAGTAACTGTCAATCAATATACTTGAGCGAGGTGAGGGTCCACTGGCTGGGCTTCAAGTTTCATCTAGTCGATGGACTTGTGCAAGTTGGGCCCAAGTTTCAGTGTGTTGAGGAGTAAGGTGGCAAGGGCAAAGGATAGCTGACCATACTCTGCTCAGTAAACAGACAACTGACAAAGATGGGAACCCAGCTGAACTGCACGTTCAAGCATGGAAAGTCACGGTCATTACCAAAACTTTATTACCTTGTCATTCTCTGCTGGAAAACAGGCTTTGGTCCTTAGCAGTTGATTGCCACAAAATGACAAAAACAGAAGGCAAAAAAAAAAGGCTCCAGCAACTGGAGAGGAATTCCACTACTTAGTTCCATTGGGAAGATTTTTGCTAGGATCATGCTTAAAAGACTCCATCAACTACATACCTAGTACACCCAAAAGCCTATCATGGTTTCTATGCCAACAGATCTACTGTGAACATGTGTTCCTCCATATGTCAATTACAAGAGCATTGTGGGGCATAGGATATACCCCCTCAACACCATCAGCAAAGCAGGGATCTCAGGATTTGGGAGAAAAATGGTTGTTCAGCAAAGCTCCTCAATCTCATCCACTCCTTCCATGACAACATTGTTTAGTTTAACGATTCCACATCCAATTGTTTCATATCAAGAATGGAGTTTAACTGTTTTGCATCCTAGCCTGATTCTTGTTTGACCTCTTCTGCTCCATGCCCCTAACCTTTGCCTTTGCTGCAGAAAATGGAACACACCTCCTTGCATTATAGGTTAGATGACAAGCTCTAAAATCTAGTAAGACAAAGTGAAGACAAAAACATAATCGCAGCCTGATCAAAACTCCTTTGTATTAATAATGTTGCGTTATTCGGAAACTAGATACAAGGATTTGTGAACTGTCTCTCCTATGCCTGTATCTTGCTCTCCTTGACTTTTAGCATCAAGAAGCTCATGATCGTGGGACAAGGTGTTGTATCTCTGACCCTAATCAGATTAAATAACACTTCTCTGGAAGTGATTAGCAAATTCTACTATCTTGGGTCCATGAAAACAGACAAAATGCCCCTTAATGCAAAGGAAATACAGCAACCACATTGGCTAATTCACATAATACACATGAAATAACATCAAACTGACCCTTAGGAACAAACTGAAGGACTGGGTTCTCAGCATACTGCTGCTTAATATGGATAGACTTACAGCCATTAAAAGCAGCTCAACAATTTTTACAACATCTGTGGCTTATTATGGGGTATAGACTGGCAAGATAAATCACCAACGTGGCAATCTTCTCAAAGGCAGCACTCCTCAAGTTTGCTAGCACTCAGTTATCAGCAAAAGTGTTCCATACACATCATTTGAGAAGGACTGTTTAATATTTGACCTTCAGCCTTTAGGGATGGAACGACACAAACAAGACGAAAATGAGACTCAGATTTATTAACAATTTTTGAAGCTGTTGCTAAAAGATATAATGTGGAGGTGCTGGTGTTGCACTGGAGTGGACAAAGTCAGAAATCTATGAAATGAGGTTACAGTCCAACATGTTTATTTGAAAACACAAGCTTTCGGAGCCTCAGTCCTTCTTCAGGTGCTAGTTAAAAGAGATACTTATACTCAACTCCACTCCACTGAAGCAACAAATTCATCACATCTGTTGGTGGTACAAATCCACAGACCACACTCCCATCTCCTACTACCAAGATAAATCTCATACATCAATAAGGAATAACACAGCAAACCCAATGTCACTTATTATCATTAGTTGGATTTTAAAAATAGCATGTTTCCAACCAAGTCAAGTGAATTGATATATCTCTTCTAGATAACACTACAGTCTTTTGTTCAAGAAAATGAGTTGTGCATGTATGGAATGAGCTGCCAGAAGAAGTGGTGGAAGCAGGTATAATTACAACATTTAAAAGGCATCTGGATGGGTATATGAAATGGAAGGGTTTACAGGGATATGGTCCAAATGCTGGCCAATGGGACTGGATTTATTCAGGATATCTGGTCGCCATGGATGAGTTGGACCGAAGGGTCTATTTCTGGCTGTACATCTCTATGACTCTAAAATGAAACTCTTCTAACTCTGTAGACCTTCATTGTTGGGCTTGTTGGATTCTGACTCACAAACAAAACACCAAGAAAATCTCTCTGATGCAATCGTTGAAATTCTATTGCATAATAGTTAACATACCTGAGGTGCTTGTACTTAAATCTCCACTCACACTCTCCACTGTCAAGTGCGAACTGGCTCGATGCTCTGTGAAGACAGCAAATTAAGAGTGGAAACCTTCTGAGATACAAATATAGCTTGAGAAAATGGGAACTTGCAGTGTTTCAAGTTATAGAATATTAGCTCGATAAATGCACTTCCTGATGTGAAACTGGAAATTTTCGAATCCAATCTTCACTTTTAGTGTGGCTAACTGATCTTAGCATAAGAAGCAGGAGAGCAATTTTCTGCAGAAGTGCATAGGAATGAATGGGAAAGCTCTAAGACTTGCAAGAAAATGATACTAGGAGCAAAGAGCTCTTAAAT